TAAAACATCCACGTATGCAGAAGATTTCTCTCAGAACGGGGGGGGGGGGGTTCTAAGCCTCACCTCTGTTGATCCCCATTTTCTCACCTGATGGCCCCCCTGCAACTGTGCCTGTCTTAGGTTGTTCCTCCCTTGAGGAATCTTACCCGTCTATAGAGGATATCTTATAAAAAAGATAGTTCTCCAAGTAGATTGGAGCAAGTTATAGGGTATCCCAATTTAACTAAACTGCTGAGGTAGATATAACACTTAGGAAACAGTGATTGTCCCAGATATCATTGAAAGGCCCCAGTCACCAAGTTACTTAAGCATTGAAAATCATGAAACTTAAGGTATCTTAGTTTTTAAACACTCGTTTGTTACTGTGGATATGCTAAGTTGGTGGCATATCCGGCATGCGTTTTGGAAGTGTCTAGATTCCCATGATTCACACCTATGACTGTGGGAGTCCAACTACTCTTCTAGCCTGTGACCAGGTACAGGCTCTAGAAAGTGTGAGAAGTGGCCCGTAAATCTGCTGGTCCCTTTGTCTCATTTTCTCACTTGGCATCTCACAGTGCATATCACTAGTATAATCCTTTTTACACAATATGGTGCTTCAACATAAGCTCAGCTGGAGAAATAGCCACCTTTCCTGATTCTGAGATTCTCTATCTCTCTCTTCAGTGAGGTATTTTTTTCTCATAGGCTGTTGAAAGATAAGTTTGACTAAAGGTTATTTTTGGCCGTTTATACTGTTTTGACCCTGGTTTTCTTAAGATGGGATTCATTGTGCAGGACTAGGTATTATAAAAGAAAGGTTTTTTGGTCTGAAAGTCTCTGTGTTCGAAGTGCTGCAGTTGGGAAAGGTGGGTATGTGGTTCTATCTTTCTAGAAATGTCATTCTTTTTCACATCCTGTTTCTTTCCCCTCTAGTTGTTGCAATTTATGATTATACAAAAGACAAGGAAGATGAGCTGTCCTTTCAGGAAGGAGCCATTATTTATGTCATCAAGAAGAATGACGATGGTTGGTATGAGGGCGTTATGAATGGAGTGACTGGGCTCTTCCCGGGGAATTATGTTGAGTCGATCATGCATTATTCTGAGTAAAGCTCAGCAGGGCTGTTTCCCTCACGGGGATAGTCAGGTCTTCCCAGATTATCAAAGGCCCTGTGGATTCCCTTCCAGGGAAACTAATGAAGGATACAAATGACAAAAACTACTTATGTTTTTTTAATTTACCCCCACATACAAAAACAAAAAAGCAAGCTGAGTCTGAACACATGGATCTTTCTGCCATCATTTGTGCTATATTGAGCTGTTTGGATTGAAATAAAGTGGCCATTTCTGAGTATGTCAAGGTATGACAGCATAATCCCATAAAACATCTGGTTAAGACTGATTCAGGAAAAGATCTGGGATCTTTCTCAGGAATACTGCACACCCTTGAGATTTCTCCTGCAGAATTGGGTGGTCTCTGGTGCCTGTGCTAAAGGGTCAGCCTTGTGGCCTAGCTTCACATTTTTTTTTCCACTTGTATGAGAAGGTAACCAATATTTAAATACCATACTTAACCATTTTTATAATTTCAGATGGTTTATTTCTTCTTTAGCACTGTTAAGTTCTACATTCCCTCAGCACTTGAGTGCACCAAGCTGACTTGCATCCCTTCATGTTTCTCAGTTTGTAGATGAGGAGGGTGATGGAACGAGTCTCCAAACATCCTGAGGGTGGTTAACAATTGCTAGTTTGACTTTAATGTGCTCCTGCTGCGTGCGATCGCCTTGCTGCTAATGGCCAGTGTGCCTGGGTGTGTGAGGTGTGGTGAGTGGCTCAGGTGCTCTGATGCTGAGGTAGGCATGTGAAGCTAGATGCGAGGTTCTCGGGGTTCTGGAGAGTTAGCTGTAGACGTGTTCTGTTCAGGTGGCGTCCTCAGCCGATGCCTTAGGCACAGTTTGGAGGAGCAGGATCTTGGAGACATCAGACCAACTCTTTTCTTTCACTATTTAGAAGAATATTAATCTTTATTTCAAAATAGTAGTTATTTTCAAGTCTCCTGACAGTCACTGGGAATAAAAGTCTTGCTACTGGGCTGTTGGAACATCGTTAATGGCCAGTGTTGTTAGCTATTGCTGAGTTGTTTTAGTCACTTAATTCTACAACAGGTAAATAAATACTCTCTTTTTGTGTAATTGGCCTTTGAAGTAGCTGCTCTTAGAATCTGAATGTTACATCTCAGACTAAGAATAGCAGGATAAGTCATATTATAAAGCCACATACTTACCCCTACATGCATAAAAATTAATATAACTTTGAGAGAAACAATGATAAAGTAAATTTTTCCCCATCTGGACAATTACAGCTTCCAATTTAGTGGAGTTTGTAAGGCAGATGGCTTTAATCACCACTTCTGTAATCAGTATAAGAGAACTGAAAAAATTCAGGCAGGCTTGCTGCTCAGCAGGTGAATACTGTGGTGGCCAGCCTGTTCGTGGGCCCAGAGCTGCTGCAGGTTCTCAGCACCATTGATTGGGCCAGAAGAGAGCTTTGCCAGGTAAATTCCCTGTGTCGGGTGAAAAGGGAGAGGTAATAGCTGCATATATTTCAAATGTAGGCCTTGAACATGACTGACAGTGCAGACAGAACTTGATTTGAAAAATGAACAAATGTAGTTGTGTGTGAGGGAATTATGGTGTAGACAGAGGTTAATATTCTACTTGTGAATCTCATCTTAGCACAAATCTTCATCACTGTTTGACTGACATTCAGAGATTCCCTTGACTTCTTTTGTTTTAAAATTGCAGGTTTTCCCCCCCACATGTTGCAAATTAGCTGTTTTGCTTTGAGATTTCTGACACTTTGAGCTTAGCTTTCATTAACTTGCCCCCAGGGTACTTCCCACACCGTGCTCTCTTGGGTCATCTGGGCATCCTTTAGTTGGTTTTCCTTCAAAGGAATGGCGCTGAATGTCCTCTGAGCCTTTAGCTTCATTATGGACCCAACCAAGACTATACTTGGGTAGGCTAAACTCTTCTTGGTGTTGGTGTATAGCTGGGGAAACTGCTTTGAAATGAAAAGTTCCAATTATTTATTTAAATAGCGTAGTGCATTAATAAGGCAGAGGGTATTTTGAAACACAACAAACAATTCCCACAACTTACACATCCAGAAGCAGAGAAGACAACCACGCAAAAAGTTGGTGGTTGGTCAGCCTTCCTGTTGAAGCCCTGCCGGACTGGGGAGTGCAGAAGACACTGGTGATTCCTTCATACTGAAGATGTGCCACAGGGTGTCCGTGGATCAGCCAATTTTTTTCTACATTATTTAGTTCTAATGTGTGTGTAGGGGTTTTTTTTTGTTTTAAAAACAAGACGTGTTGGATTTTCTGCATATTTAAAATTTTTGTACAGTTTTGAATTCTACATATTGTCTTAGAAGGACACAGTGTAATGATGGGCCAGGCCTACAGTAATTGGAGACTTTTAATGTATGTAATATTTCATAGATTGCATGCTATTAATTGTCTGTGAGGATAGTTGTTTTCTTGTAAGTTTCCCCCATTTATCTTTTTATAAATTACAAGATAGTTGGTAGTAGGAATTCCAAGTGAATGCAGAAACCTTATCTGCTACATAATAATTGTGGCAAAGATGGTCCATGTCTAAAATTAATTTATCAGGATAGGGGGAATCTAATGAGCAAGGGGAATTTTTTTTCCTATTACTGTTTGAAAGGCCATGGGAATATGAATGAAAATCCACCTTCTTACTGTCATTGACCTTATGGCCAGGGCAATAAAATGACAACCAAGAGTGACATTGTGTCAAAATCTATACCTGAGAGATTCAGCGTGCTGTGTTTGGACTAAATAATGGATCTTTTAAGATGTCTTGTTCAGTATTTTCCATCTTTTGGCTGCTTGCTTTCTGCCCCCCTCAGGTCACCTGCTATTCCCATCTTAGGGCTGGCCAGGGCTGTGTTCCAAGCCACTAGTTGAGACATTTTCATCCCTCCCTTTCTTTACCCCTCCTGTGGCTGTTTATTATCCGGCTAGAGTGTTTTATGCGGCTTTACAGTGATGTCTGTAATACAGCTGTGCTCCTTAATGCACTCACATTGATTACTTAAGATTTTTCTGTTTGGGAGGGATCAAAAATGGTGTCTGCTTTTATCCTTTCGTGCTAATTTTCTTTTAGCAGGTGACCTTTCTGCATTAAGAACTGTTCTTTTGCTATCTTTTCTCCTCTGTGGAGAGAGCATGGTATGTCATGAAGGCCGCCTTTCCCTTTGGAAAGGGTTAGATGGAGGGATTGGCAGCTGACTGCCAGGTCTCAAAAAGAATGGGGATCTGAATCACTTCCCATCCGTTCATGTCTGCATTGCTTTGACCAGGAACTCCTGATTGGTGTTAAGGTGATGATTTCCCACACACGATTTACTTAGAGTCATAGAATTTTAGACCTTGGTAAGATTTTAAAAATTTTCATTCATTTTGCTGAAGAGGTTAGATGTTTCATTTCAGACAACAGCTTGTTAGTAACAGCAGAGTTCCTGACTAAATGCCTGATGTTCTTTGTGTAACTGTCTTAATTGAATGTGCTGTTTCTTTAAAAATGAAGAACTCGATGTCTTCAGGAAGATACTTGAGAAGATATGCTATGTTTTGATATACCATAGGAGTATTCAAACTGCTTAAAGGAGTGTATTAAGTACAACCTTCGTTAGTGAAAATAATAATTATAACCCTTTTAAAACTACACTCAGTACTACATAGCAAACATATTTCAGCACTGGTAGGCATAGGAACAGCCTTATTTGAGAGAGCCTCTAAAACAGGCATTGAGCTCTTTACCTGAAGTTTAGTTTATGGAGATTTTTGTTCCTATTTCTTAAGAATTTTGAGCTTCTCAAAAAAAAGAAAAAAGACAGGGCCTAGCTGTGTATAAATGATCCTTGCTAAATATCTTGTTTTGTAAAAAAAAAAAAAAAAAAAA